GTAAAGATCACATAAGCAGGATAATCACAACAGCCAGAAAAGATCTCACTGCACTGAAAACCATGGCGTGTAGCAAAATGCCACAGAGAATTTTAGCCATACTATACCAGACTTTCGTTCTGTCTGTGATAGAATATGGCCTCGGTCTCCTCACCTTGTCAACGTCGCAGCTGAAACGCCTTGAAAGAATTCAGAAAAATGGTATGCGGACTGTTCTTGGGTACCCTCGAGACACATCATGCCAGGCTATGATGGCTTATCTCCTGGACCTCCCAGCCATGATAGAACGTCACGAGATTGAAAGCGTATTTGAGAGTCAGCACCAATTATCAGAACACACTACCTGACAAAGTGGGAAGAACTGTGCGTACACGTCTGCTCAGAGGGACTGAATGGATGAATGAGTCAGCGACGGCTTTGGCTAAATGCCGTGAAGTGCAAGACATCCGAAGGGGCAGCGCATAGGTCATTGTCACTGACACATTTGGGCTGCATACTCGAGTGGTAGCAACCTTAGGCAGAGAATGTCGTGAGTGGACAGAGGGGGCAGCCGATGCTGAGATAGAGACGCTGATAGAGGACAACAGTGAACAAGGCGACGTAGTCGTCTTCACAGATTGATCAGTACAGCGTGGAGTCAAATCTGGATGGGCTTTCAGAGAGAGAGAGAGAGAGAGAGAGAGAGAGAGAGAGAGAGAGAGAGAGAGAGAGAGAGAGAGAGAGAGAGAGAGAGAGGGAGGGAGGGAGGGAGGGAGGGAGAGAGAGAGAGAGAGAGAGAGAGAGAGAAAGAGAGAGAGAAAGAGAGAGAGCTGTCAGGTGCCACTGGTATAACTACGTCTAGCATGTGCATGGAGAAGAAAGACATCACAGAAGCCCTTGTGACCACGGAGTATCAGTCGGCCATCCTCGTCACCGACTCGATGAGTTACACAGGTTTGACTGTAACCCCCCCCCCCCCCCCCCACACAAAAAAAAAAAAAAACACACTCCCAAACTTTCATTCACACACGCACACACACACACTCACACACATACACACACACGCCCGCAGACAAACACCTACATGACACACACACACATACACACACACGCACGCACGCACGCACACACACACACACACACACACACACACACACACACACACACACACACACACACACACACGCCCGCGCGCGCACGCACAAAAACCAAAGACTGTGGAGCAGTAACTTACTGTTATTGTCTTGCTGCTGTTTGCCCAGAGATATATTGGGCACCCTTTGAATTTGCAAAATCCTTAGTTTCTCTTTTGATTTGTTGTCTGTATGCCTAGAATTTTTCACAGGAAAACTGTCTGACGTCAATAATTCTGTCCCTGAAGTTATCATCTGATCTCAGAGGTAAAATTCGTGAGAAAACGGCCGCCAAAGTTTGATAACTTCAATAGCTTGAGAGCCTTTTAAACTGAAAAATCACAAATTTTGGGCATGTAATGAACGTTTTTCAGTATGGATTAAAAGGTGTTTAACGCGGGGAAAAAATTCAATAAAAGTTCCCAAACCTGTGGAAAAATGCCAGGGTTTTTTTTTTCACTTTCATTATTTTGACGAGCGCCTGATTTCACCACGCTGCCTCACAATTAGAGTAAATCATTCAAGGAAATTATTGCATACACATAGGTAGCGTAAACACGGCCTCGCGGGCACTCGCGGCCTTCCGACCGCGTGGTATCGGTAAAATCGGGTTAATTCCGATCGCTCTTTCTTTGCTCTTTCGCTATAAAACACCACATGCCGTACACCTTGTAAAAGTTCAGCTTTTCCTCGTTACAGTGGTGTAAGTTGTTTATATGTCCGATTATTAGGAGCCGGAGAATCGCCGACGAAAGCGAAGCCCCTCGCGGTCAGAATGCGAGGTCGGCCGGTTGAAAAATTGACACGCGTGCATTCAAATGCTTCGCGGAACGAGGGATGATTAAATACCGTCTTTTCATTGGCGGAGAACTGTAGAGCTTTAAACGGGCTTTCCCGTGATATAGACTGGCCTTTGGCGTCTTTATAGAAAGCTTTTTAAAATACCGTCAAAATGTTTAAAGATCACTTTTTACACAAAATATGTAAAATACCGGCTTATAAAAAGTATTAATTAAAAGATCAGTTTATTTCCTATTAGAATAAAGTAATTAAATTGGAATTATTTAACATCAATCCATCCGCTAGACTCATAAAGCATGTGACCCCGCACGCGGGGTACACTACAGTATAGAGCCGACTCGCTCGCCACGGGGGCCGGTGCGACGCCGGCCGGGTCAAAGCTCGGTGTTTTTGTCGAAATAACGACAGATATCGTGTTTGAGGTGATAAAGTAGGCTACTGATTTGTAAATATCTCACAGTCTTGAAAAAAATTATGCTCCATATATTTGTTATAGTGATTGTACTCTGTTAATGTGGAGATGTTTAGTGCACTTGTTACATTTTTATTGTCTGTCAAACATGGGGTTGCAACCAGTGACTGACTTTAACAAATTTGATCAAATTTTAAACAACTACAATTTTCTTAAAAATTGACGGAGAGGTTAAACAATGGTACCAAAATGCTCAGTGGATATAGATCTAGGCCTTTCAAATGAAACAGATAAATTTGGCATACAGCTAGTTTGAAAATTTAGTTTCTGGTACCTAATACACACTCTTTTTTACTAATAAAAAGGAAAAAAATTGAGACTCACGTATGACAAAAGCGCTTTAATTAAAAAACAAAACAAGTTACAGTGGAATTCTGATAAAGTCAACACCCCGGACAGAAAAAAAGGGGATGACTTTGAGCAAGGTTGACTTTATCCATTGTACTAGTGCCATTAAAAATTGAAGATGACAGCTACAAAATGACAAAGTACCTCGTAATAAACAAGATGTAATCTCAATTTCAGGGAGTATAATTCTGAAGTTGTCACCAAAACAAGAGATAATGAAAGAACAAAGTACATATATGTAATTGGTGGTGTGTACACCACTTGCTCAGGCGAAATACCTCTTCTAGAATGAATTCACCTCAGGATTTAGCCCCAAATTGTTGACTTCACGAAAGGTTAATACTCAAGTGGTAGACTGTATCAGAAAATCAGAAACACAATTACTTCAACTTAAACAAAGAAGGTAAGAAACGGGACTACAGTGAGGTGTTGACTGTAAGCAAGTTGACTTTATCAGGATTCCACTGTATCTATGTTATTACTGATCATTTATGGTGAAAAAAAAGTGAAATTAGTTATCATCAACAAATGCAGAGTTCATCATTATGTCGAAAATATTTTTTCCCCCTCACAAAAGTATAATATTACATTAGCTAAAGACCCCCCCCCTTACACTTTTCTTACAGGAACCAAAGACCCGCCCCCCCTCCCCAGGCGTAAGATTATATTTGAACGGCCCCTTTTATAGAGAAAACTCTCCATGTCTTTTAAAGAAACTGAACAAGGGGCAAAAACTTTACCTTCGATTTTCTCAAAACAGCATTTTTCGGGACAGGCCCCTTGTGCTAAAAAAGTGACCAAATAGAAACCATGTATCAGTATCAGTACCATTGCTGGCGATAAAGAAGACAAAACAGATTAGTTTTAGTTTTAGTAAGTGTGTTACGGCACTTACAACAGAATAAGGTCATAAGTGCCGAAGATTAGAGGTGTTACAAGAGAGTAACAAACACAAAAAAAAAAGGAGGAAAGATAAAGATGGTAGATGTTTGATAGGAAAGAAGAAGCAAACCACACAAAGGCACCCGTCAACCACCCACTGTGATGTGATGGCTTCAACTTCATGGCAAAAGGAAAGCCAAGAAAAAGATGGATCAACGAAGTCAAAGAGACCCTCCAAAAGAACAGCATGATGATCAAAACACCTAGCATAAATCCAACAATTGACCTCCCCTCCACACCTTGTGGCATAAGAGGACAGAAAAAGTGAAAGTAAGTACTGGAGGGTAACATACAAAGAATAGGAGAGACATTATAAGGACAATAGAAGTTTAACAGGAAAGAAGGCACAAACCACACCAGAGCACCCACCGACCACTCAGGCTGAGTTTTTTTTTTCTCTTGGGGTGGGGGTGGGTTATTAAAAAAACATTCCCTTCTGAGTTCCCAACTGAAGTTGGTTTGCAGGCTTAGGACTGCCGTAGGCCCATTAAAATGTTTTTTTGTCTTTGTTGGAGAGAGGTTTCCACAACTAGATGGCTTGATAGGACCCCAGTAGAAGCTGTGAGCTGTATGAGTTGGAGAGGGGTTCCCATAACTAGATGGTACTCAGTACTGAGCTGGACGATAAGTTCAAGAGAGTCCCCGGGCCCGCGTCTCCCAGCTATCTCCTCGCCACTAGATGTCGCCACTATTGTTGATAGAAGTTTAAAATCGTTGTCTGTTAAGTTGTATTACATCTTCCATGGCTGTCAAGTGCTCAAGTCAGTGACGGTGACGTGCTGGGGTCACAACAGTCGACATTTCTATTGCAGGTGCACTTTAAAAACAAAAAACATTTCTTGAGTCAACTCCGCTCTGTCCGAGGAATCATTTTCATTTTCCTTGTCATCAGCATTGTCCTTTGTTGTTAAATCTGTAAGTGTAAGCAAGCTTGTTGCTGGATGATCCCTGTCTACTGGATTGTTGTCATGTGTCAAGGAAACAAGGACAAAATGGAGTCTCCAGAACCGCGGTAGATCACATTAAATACCGAAAGTAGCAAATAAACCATTATAGAATAGTATAGTAAATACACACAGATAAAAACGTGCATTTTCACTTCATTTATAGTAAGTCAGACAAATATTGCAAATAAACCAACGTAATTTTTTGTCAGTTACAATAAGCTGCGCATAACTGATGGGAATGGACTTCAATTTATCTCCAAAAATACACTGATTTGGGTAAATCCACTTTGGGTTCAAGAATAGATTATGAAAAAAATATATTGAAGGGCTCCAATTTTATCTGAGCACTTGGCAAGTGTGCAGTGGGCATTGCTGAAGTCACAGAGCTGGAATTATCTTGACACCAAACTTGCCTGGCTTGTCTGGGCAGTACACTGGGTAGCTGAGACTTGAGACTGCCACTCCACGCCAACACGCCTTTGTCGACAGACATGTTGATGGTGGGGGTAGACGTTGGCGGTGAAAGTTTCCGCCTTCCTCTCCCCTGTGAACAAAGTTGTCGATGTCAGTGACATGGCCTTCCTCTCCCCTGTGAACAAAGTTGTCGATGTCAGTGACATTGTATAGGTTTTTTTAAAGTCCATACCAACACTATCAGGCTATTTAAGTCCTAAATTTTAAAGTCCGTCTTCGATAGGACAAAGACATGTGGGTTGAGAGCTTTGAATTTTAAAGTCCGTCTTCGATAGGACAAAGACATGTGGGTTGAGAGCTTTGACCATCTACTTTGTCCACAATGATACCAACAGAACTAATCAGATGGCTCCAATTTTATCTGTGTACCCGGCAGCTGTGTATCTGACTTTGTCACTTTGTGCAGAGATTTGTGCCGCTGTGTATCTGACTTTGTCACTTTGTGCAGAGATTTGTGCCTCTGTTATAAACCTGTCATTTTTTGCATAATTTCTGATTATTTTCCTTCATCATTCTTTGTAAAAAAAAATTTACAGAATCGCTTAATTACACATTTTTGGGCTCAGTTTGCATAATTTCAGAATTTTTCTTTCATAAAACGACGGGGGACGGATAAACAAAGAATCTATGCCAGTTGCAGATTGCCAATTTTATCACACCACTTGGCAGGTCTGGTACCTTGATACTCATGCACAAGTTGTGGTACGGAATAGCCAATACAAAAGTATTTATAAGACAAATAATACATAAATAAAAAATTTTTAAACAAAAATCAATTATTTGACTTTGTTAATTTTTTTCTAGTACAGGTTTATAGTCTCTAGCATCACAAGAAAGTCTCATTTATGACCAGGTTTGAAGATAGCAGAGCACAGGGCTGTGTCAGCTAGAATATAAAGTAAAAAAAACTTAGATCAAAAGATATATACTAACAAGAAATACATACTTGCATTAAAAAAAACAACCCCAAGCTATCTCATCAGTGTGTACAAAGGGAAATAACTCATTGGGATATCGTCCTTCACCTAGTCGTGTTAGAGTCATTTCCCTTGCTATTGGGCAGTCAGGGGAATTAAACAGAGGACAGCATGAAAAACCTGTAGTGTTACACTTTCAGCCCCAATATACATGACATAAAAGATTAAACTAGTTGTGGAAGTAGTCAAAACTTACATTTAACAATTTACTTACAAGAAATACATACATACATTAACCCTTCCAGCCCCAGCCATTTTTGTGCACTCCCTTATCCCAGTCCCAGCCAATTAAGCAGTATTTCAGAGAAAAAGGCATGCATTCTAAAAAGTGATGTAGTATCTTTGTAATGAGGGTTTAGATAATAACATATAACAATGTTTAATGGTAAATGTACAAATATGAAAATTAAAGTTTAATTAGGTTCGCGTTTTCCGAAAATGCGCAAATTTGGTACCCCCCAAAACAGTATATATGCTCTTGGGACCGTGGGAGGTGCAAGTGCTGCTGAAAATATACGCCCATGGGGCTGGAAGGGTTAAAAAACACAAGAAGTTCAAGTTCGGACTTTCATTCAATACACCAACAAACTACATCCAACAGCCCACATTTTGCACACTTGCCTATAGACTCTCCACTCATCCTTCACACTGGTGAGTGTAGTACTGTGTTGGCCACCCAGCTCAAACCTCTCCACACAGTCTGCTCCTGTTTCAGCAGGACATGTGTCTTGTGGTTTGAACAGGGTGTTCACCCTTGCGCCACGATGAGGCCCAGTACTTCCAACTTCTGCAAGGGAGGGGATGGGGAAGGGGAACTGTGGCAGTCTCTGCAGGAAATCCAGCTCAGGCCAGTCTTGGCTTAGGTCTGCTGAGTGGCCACGTCTTCCGGCTTCATGACGGGCTCTCCAGTGACTCGTGCTCTCTTGCCGGTCCAACGTGTCTCTCCGTCCTCTGGTGGAACGCCTGTTTTCAGGTGGACGTTTTACACAGTGAAAAGATCTATGAAATCAATCACAACAAAAAAAACTTCTAAGGTGCCAAATGTTAAACAAAACTAACAAAGGCAAAGGCAACCTAGAGTCTGAAGGCAAATTTTGTTCACTTAAATTGTCCCAAACTGGAGTTTCTTTTCTTAGAATCTTGCTTCCGAAGAAGTTTGACACTGAATTATTTCTGCATCTCAACTTGGACAAAGTTCTGCATTTTAAAACATAGCACACAAAATATAGCAACACTCAAACTGTTCCAAGTTCCAAGATCTATTCAACATAGCAAACAGATCTGCACTGTTTCAAAAACAAACTGTGTAACCTTCCATCCTGTACATATCTGAATCTCTTTATAAACTTGACGAAACAGTGTTGTAAGACGGCCAAAAAGTGCAAGGCATGAAACTGACGTGGAGGAAAACGATGACAAAGATCACTACGCTGTCTTAAACCTTCAGCTTTGTGCTGAGACTGAGGTCTCTACTCTGTGCTCTCAGATGTTTTTCCTTCGAGTCGTCTGAACGCTGCACCGGCTCTAGCAACCGTTACTGATCTCTGTGTCTGTATTGGCTGTTTGTTGAGACAGTCTGCTCCTAAGGCAAAGGTAGGTGAAATTTTCTACTGCACTTGACTCTCTCTGACATGAACAAAATATGAGACCGCAGACTCTGGAGAGGTACACTTTTATGCAAATACGAAGCTCTCCGAGAGGTGGTTACAACACTATTTTCATCTCTTTTGGTATTTAATGCAAGTCCAAAGTTACCACAGCTGCTGGAGAAACAGGTAAGCTGACGTTGGCAAAGAGGCGTTCTCTTGCTCAGAGCAGTTGTAGGCAAACAGAAGATACCTGATGATAATTTTGAGTACTTTGCCAACAGGCGCAGCTATGAGATGACTGAGCATGAAATAAGCAAACAACTGTTGAAATGAAGCTTGTCTACTTTACTGGTCGCTGCCAATCATTGAAGCAAAATAATTTTTTAATCTATAATTTTGTCCCGTGCCCGTTCCTAGCATAGATCTAGAATCTATTATTATAAGAACGCCATCATGAATAATAATCAGTACAACCAGGGGAAGAAAGTTAGTAGGTACACAGTACTAAGAACAAAATAACAGTAAACACAACGCAAACAACACCTTACAAAAGCTAGACAGCACAAAATCGCAAACACACAGAACTCAAACTACGACAGTACCATAATATTATTGTCAGCTTAAAGTATTTTATATCCTAACATCCTCTGCTCCCAAAGAGTCACGAGGCGGGCACTTTCCCACATTCCCACTCCCTAGTGGAGCAAACCAAATTTAGTTAATCGTCACCAGACAAAAAAATAGGCCGAAATATGTGCGCTCAGTCTCATCTACTGGTGACTACGTTAATGGGGATCTACTCTAGGGCCATGGGCCTTGGAAAACAACAACAGCACACACATATATATACATTTGTCTCTACACTATGGCCAGCCAAGTAAACCGAAAATCCCAATCATCAAACCTTTACACAAAATTTTAAACTGCTATCATTTAAAACGAAAAAGATGGGCCCACTACCATACCCCTTCTTACCGAATACAGGCATTCTGGATTCCCTTGCCTTCCAAAACTGAAACCCAATATGAAAGGTCAAAGGTCAGTTCCCCCTTGACCCCTGAACTCTCATATTTGATAACAATTGGACTTTCAGCCACAACAGCCCACACCCTTAAAATAGTTCTACCTTTTTCATATCAACTACTCAAAAAAATATAAAATATTCAATTTCATATATGTAGCTCGTGGATGTGTTCCACCAACTCCCCTCAGCTCCTTCAAAAATTGCCCTGCCCAAAAACTGAGCTGTCGCTATCGTTGTTACCTGGCTTTCTGAGACTACCGTCTTCGACTTCTCCGACTATGAGGGATTGAGCGTCATTTCCCCTTTGACACCCAACCCCTCATACCCGGTTTCCTCTTCAGACTGAATAGCCCCACCACCCCATGCCTTTCAAAGCACGAGCCCCACAAACAACTTTATAAATTAAATCGAAAACAAAAAACAACACAACTCCCAGTTGTTAAATCTATCTCAGCTCTCCTCATTATCAATGGAAGGACTTTCGTAACGAGCGACCATCTCAACAAACAATAAAGAAGAGACCAACCTCAAACCCTACTCCTACCCCAGCAACTAACTCTGTATTCTACTCTGTCTCATACTTGTGGTCGCTCGTTATGGATATCCTCCATTCTCAATTCCTACAGCTGTCTTATTCTCCCTCCTCTTCCCCTAAAAATATTAATTGTCTTTTCCCCTTGCTACAACTAATAAAACTAATGATCAGCGATGACATACACCGACTTGACTGGCTATATATTATATATATGACAACAGACAAACAAAGGGTCGGTGTTAGTGGGTTGTAAAGAAGGTGAAACCTATTATTGAGACTGGCGCACTTCCTACCACAAATTACTGGTTGTACTATGGCGTCTTACCTTATCTAATAAATTATAAACTCTAAACATTTAACTATTTTAAGACGATGAACACATTAACAACACACTCATCCATACATTGAAACACACTCATCCATACATTGACTTTTTATATCTACAACATAAAAACAAAGAAAAAAATGTCTGCAGGTTCCAATCCAAGTCATGGACAAGCCAATTCCCTGAGAGAGAGAGAGAGAGAGAGAGAGAGAGAGAGAGAGAGAGAGAGAGAGAGATCCCCACAAAACCTATTAAAGTGAACAGTCTGACTCTACGTGGGCAAAAACCAAAAATACAAAAATCCTAAAACCATACACACATCGATAGAATAATAGAATACAACTTAAACAACGCACGGACCCCGACAAACACACACTTGCCACACATACAATACAGTACAGAAGTCCATCACTCAGACTCAGCGATCTAAATCACTTAGCCACCATCTAGATCTAGTCCTATCCCCTCATCGGTTTCCTCCACATTACGTCATATAAAGCTATCACCTCCCCACACCTTGGTCCAGTAGCCCACCTCACTTCTCTCCTAGCCACCCGCCCCAACCAGTCCCTGTACCATTCTGGCCCTCCAGCCAAAGGAGCACTGACAATAGGCTCACCTTCACTAGAGATATCTACCTCAAACAACAGCCGCTCTCCTTCAACATTCAAACCGACTAAGAAATCATCACGTCTCACCTCAAATCCCAAGAACATGTGCGGTCCTTCCAGGCCATAGAACTGACCTTCCACCAAGTCAATACACTCTATTACTGATTCATCTGGGAGAAGTGACGCAAAATTCCCCATGGCGGCGGCAAAGACAAAGAGAAGGCAGGACTCTTCTACTTCAGTACAGGAACGAATCGATCTCTGGAAGACAAAGATACTAAAGATCGACGTGAAATCTTCAGAAAAGCGACTCGACAGCCAAACAATTGTTCTGGATAACTTGCAAATCGTCTCCAACTAAATGCAGTGAGTCAACACACTTCAAACAGAAGACAGCTTTTGCAACTCGCTACACTGAGCAAAATGGCGAACAATATGGCGACTGACTGACTGACTTGGACAACATCCGCTCAAAGATTTTTCCAACAATTCCTTAGTAGCCTAAAATAAACCGGAAGTTTATAGAATGGAGAATAGCGGATGTACCTCATGAAAGAGGCAAAAAGCATTGTTCACTAAATAATGTCCATCACACAAATCAAATGCGCAAAAATAAATTTAGATCTGTCTTTTTAAAGTTTTTTAAAGTGTTTTACGGCACTCGCAACACAATAAGGTCATATAAATGCCGAAGATTAGAGGTGTTACAAGAAAGTAATAAACACAAAAAAAGGAGGGGAGATAAAGACGATAGATGTTTGATAGGAAAGAAGAAGCAAATCACACTAGAGCACCCGCCAACCACCCACTTAAATCTGTTTGGTTTTTGTTTTTTAAAATAAAGTTGAGTCAACTACATGTATACAGATCTATTTACCTAACATTATTATTTTCCTCATTAATTATAGTATAGGCTATGCTATTATGTTCAAAATCATAGATCTATACAATCATGTAGGCTAGGCCTACTCTACCCTGTCCTGTATGGTTGGTGTAGGCCTACCGAGTCAAAACACCAACCTCTATAATACTGTCCCCGAGGTTTTTTTTATGCACCCCGCATAATTTAGCAAAATTTGATCATTTTTGGGGGGCATAATTTCTGATTATTTTCCTTTATCATTCTTTGTTTTAAAAAACAACAACAGAATCGCATAATTTCATATTTTTGGGGCTCAGTTTGCATAGTTTCAGAATGTTTCTTGCATAAAGAATAAAACGACAGGGAGAGATAATAATATTCACTAGGACAAGGTCATGTACCACAATGATCAGACTTAGTTAGAGATCTAGAAACTGCAGTTCGGAAACAAGGGTTCTGAAGAATGACGTAACTGTTCTAGAAGCGGCAGCAGCCTTTCGTTTGAGGATTTGCAAGAGTTTTACGGCACTTCTAACACAAATATAGGTCATTTATAAGTGCCAAAGATTAAAGGTAGTGCTAGAGAATGACATACACAGTAATGAATGAAGGAGGAGAGACAAGACAAAAATCGATAGATGTTTGATAGGAAGGAAGGATCCGACAAAGCACACCGGAGCACCCGCCAACCAGTGACCACCCACAACCTTTTGTACGAGCTTTCAGTACAGTCGAACCTTGTTTAAGGAACACCTATCAAAAACATTCACCCGTGCAAACAACCACTTTCTGTCCCCGTAGGATTATGCGATTGTGCGGCCGCGATTTTTCGCGTAATTCTGCACATTTGCATAATTTTGAATTCCCCGCGTTTTTTCACGATCCCCCCCCCTTTTTTAAAAACAAAACAATTAATTTTATTAATTAACGCCTCGCCATGTGATTAAAGGGAAATAATCACCGTAATAAGTCTTATTTAAGTGAAAAGTTAGTTATTTCCCTTGGTAGAAGATCTTGGTTATGGTTTGGGATTTTGTTCCTTGAGCATGTTCAATTTTTCAATCCATCAAAAGTTGTTGTTCTCATGTCTGCTGATGCTTCATGTTTGACAGGTGTTCCTGGTTTTAGTAATGTGCCAGCATCAGAGGTCCAGATGTCCTTTTTTTTTCTTTTTTTTTTTTACATTTTTCTTTCCCAGTCTAGATCTACAACTGAAAGTTACAGAGATTATATATTTTAGTTGTTTTTTTGTTTTTTTTACAGATGTGTATTGTTTTCTTTCCAAATACACTACAAATTACTGATACTGATACGTTCTGTTTTAAATTTTTTTGTACTTAAAACATAAAAGTCTTGAAAATATGTGTTGAAAAAGTGCAAAACATGTCGCGAAAGGTGTTACGGTAACTTGCATAATTTGGCTTTTTTTGGCATTATTTGGCCATCTAAATTCGCATAATTCTACGGGGACAGCACTTTCCACTCCACCCCTCTTGCGTCTTTTTCTGTACAATAATACCATTCCATGTGTAATGACACTGTCCAAGACTTGAGCCGGATTGAATAATCTGTAGTCTACGCTTTTCTCCTACCTGCCCTTCCCATTTTGTGAACATCTGTGGGAATACTTTCCTTTTGAAACACGCTTTGAAACAGAGGCTCGCTGAAGTAAGAGATCAGAATATGCTCACCCAGCACACTCGTCAACAAAGGATGGTAACACTAATACTTGACAAAGAGAGATAGGGGGGGGGAAGAGAGAGAGAGAGAGAGAGAGAGAGAGAGAGAGAGAGAGAGAGAGAGAGAGAGAGAGAGAGAGAGAGAGAGAGAGAGAGAGAGAGAGAGAGAGAGAGAGAGAGAGAGACAGACAGAGAGGAGAGAAAATTGGAGGTTTGTGAGGGGGGGGGGGTGATTAAAAAGATGACAAAAAGCCATAAAGGTGGCCTGTGATATCTAGTAAAACAATCAAGAAAAGAGACACAATCTAAGTGAATTCCCTTTATTTTCTTCTCGTTCAAGACAAACATGATGTACTTCGTCTGTTATGGAAGAGAAATAGAGAAAGATTCCGTCATCTACGCCAAGCGTCGAAGTCAAGCATTCTCCTTTTTTGCGGGGGGGGGGGGGTCTCATTTTATAGATGCCATGTTGGAGAGGACTAATTTAACTTTTTATTTCTTCCCAATTAATTTGTGCCCCAAGTCCCATATGGGGTCTGGACAGTGACAGGAGATGCATCCGTTGCTGTCTCTCTTCCTCTTTCCCCCCGCACAGACACAGTCCAAGTTTAGAAAACGTTGGCAGATAGTACCACGAGCGAGTTTGTTGGCTCCCACCTCCGGGCTAGGCATGCAAGCTGGGGGACAGAATTTTTTTAAAAGTTTTAATCAGAATTTTACGGCACTTGTAACACAACTACATGTAGGTCATATTATAAAGAAAAGATGGAGATATAAGGAGGATAGAGGTTTGATAAGAAACACCACACCAGAGCACCCGCCAACCACACACATTTACCAATAGAAACCTAGAAAACAGATCCTTAGCGAAACAAAAAACAAAAATGATAAAAATACTACTACATTGTACTACTACTATAATAATAATAATGATAAAATAATGATAAGTAAATAAATTAATAACAATAATGATAATATTAATAATAATATTACATGAATAAATGGTAACAATAAATATAACAATAATAATAGTAGTAGTAGTAGTAGTAGTAGTAGTAGTAGTAGTAGTAGTAGTAGTAGTAGTAGTAGTAGTAGTAGTAGTAGTAGTAGTAGTAGTAGTAGTAGTAGTAGTAGGAGATGACTTGTGATTGTCTCCGGTAGGAATAGTATATTATTATTAACAATAGATTCAGTAATATATATATATAGCTCTATCCCATGCAAGTGATATAGAAATTTTTGTCGATGCTAAATTAAAAGCGAATAAACCTTACACTTACACACACACACACACAAGAAACAAAAAATTTGGATATGCACAAGAAAACTAGTTTAACTATATTAATATTATAATAGAGCATTGCATGATAGTCTAAGCCTGAAGCTCTAGCTTGTGGTGGTAAAGGCATGCAGGCAGCCACATCCACATTATAACGAGTAAATGTTACTGGAATTTGTCATTGATGCATGGACTGAAGTCTCCCTCCCCTGACACAGAGATAAGAATGGCGACGAGGAGAAGAACCTTCATCTTCATGTCTCTTTCAAGTCTCACAAGGTGCTCAGGAAAAGATCTGTTTTATCTCGCCAACACTTGCCATTTAAATACGTTGGTACGTCCTTGAATAACCTCTTATGACTCCTACTGATAAAAACAGGTTTTTGCTTTGTCTGGCATCTGCGTTTGTCGCGGCCGCGACCTGCGAATCGTGACAGCGATTTTTGGCATTTTTGGGTCCGCGATTTGTGTATTTTTTACAAAAAAGAAAAAGAAAGCACACACCGTCGGGGAATAAAAACAAACCAGGGGAAAATGGGGAATAAAAAAACTCTAAAACCCGAACCTCTTTACTTTTAACTTTTAGAAAGAAAGTTTATTTTCACTTTCGCTTCACTTCGTCTCTTACTCACTCGTTGACATTGAGTTGATTTATTTTCATGTGAAGAATATAAGTACTTTGCATAGCCTACTATTTATATTGCTGGTTCTCTTTCATTTTCCTCTATGTTGTGTTTTAATTTGTTGGTGTGTTAATTGTTTTCTTGTCATTGTTCTGATGTGTTGTTTTCAATTTTTGTGTTTATACATACAAGCGTAGTCATTTAATTTGGTACATGTATAATGTATAGTTCTTACCTTTTTTAAATACATGTATGTGGTATGTTAGAGCGTGTCTCCACCAAAACCGAATACAGAGGAGTCCACTTATAACGAAAAGTCTGTTATAATAAAGACACAATTCTAAAACCCCGTTTTTTTCTCCTCTTTACCTTTGTAAATAAAATACTGTTATTAGGTACCACAAGCAAAAAAAATTTTGAACAATATCGACGTTTACACCTCGTGGGTTCAAATCTACTCTATGAAACAAGAACATTAAAAAAGGAATTATCAAAATCCATCAATAAACAATCGAGATATGGTAGGCCTAT